AGAGAGCATCGCTAGAGCTAGTGGGGATATGCTTAGTGTTTGCTTTATGGACAGGGGTGCTGTGCTTCTTCGCATTTCACTGATCCCCTGCTTTTTCTTTCCTGCCTTAATTTTGCAAACGAGTACTGAAATATGCAGGATTCCTCCTGCCCTTCAAGGAGGGTGGAAGGAGTAAAGGATTGTATCATTCTATGTACTTGTGCCAATGACAGACAAAGGCAGTGTCTTGAGTTTGTTGCTGGCAAATTGCACTGGTAGAGTTGCAGAATAAGGGAGACATTTTAAACACAAAGGTTTGTTTTGGTTTTTTTTTTTTTTTTAGAAGAATATGCATTTTCAATTTGTCAACACAGATAGTGTCCATTTAGTTTTTACTACATATCCTAATACATTGAATTAAATTCAGAGGCAGTAAACTAAAAAATCTGTCTTACTTCTGTTTTGATCCAGCTCCATGAGCTACCCAACTGTATTGACTGAAGGGAAAATGCAAAGAGAGTCTTAGGGCAAATTTCCATTTCCCTGGTCATAGTCACTCTGTGCCAGACAGAGGCAGGTTTTTGCAGCCCAAAAGTTGTTCCAATACTCAGCAACATTTCAAGACTGTAAAGATGGTGTTAGGTTTGCTCTGATTTTTGAAAGCTCTGCAGACCTGTCACAGCAGTTGGGAGGCAGCTAACCGTAACCACGTACAGTACAGTTGTGCGCAGATGAGAATGTTTAGTTGTAGCTGTGGAGATTCAAGAAGCAGCACACCCTTTGCCTTAGCCTGCTCTGTAAGGAGAGATAAAGGCTGTTGTGGGGGCTCTGTGCACCCATAAATCCCTTTGTGTCAGGAATTCCTCCTGTGGTTGCCTACCTCGATTTTTAGATCATATACCCCCAGATCAGGCTTGAAATAATCAAACCTAAGCGTCTTGAAAAATCTTGGTATGTTTTGCTTAGGGCTTCTTTATTAATTGCTGAGAGATTTACTGTAGCTTAGGATCAGGTAGTGAGAATTTGAGTTCATTTTACAGCTTTTGTACTCAGTGGAGTGTGATGCTATTATTTCTGCATTGTGTTACTCTCAGAGTAGATTTCAGGTCTTTTTACACCTGAGAAGCACTGAGTATCACAGGTGATGTTAGGACTGCACATTTGGCTTTCAGTTTAGGGCTGGCAAGAGAAGGATTATACCATCTGGTCTTGAGAAGTGCTTAGCATGTCCAGCAAGATATTGAATAAACTCCAGTGAAAGTCACTAGAGAACTGATCATCACAACAGAATTGCCTGTTGCATGTGATCTGGTGTGCACATAATACGAACATTATCTGTGGTCTTATCTAGGCTGTGGAAACTTCTCAGCGTTGCCAGAACACGCAAGCAGCTCCACATGTGCTGGCTACAGTGAATGCTCGAATACTCAGTCAAACCCAGTTTTACCTCCTAGTCTTTCAGAAGTAAGAGATTATACAAAATAATAATACATGCCTCAGTTGCTGGTCTTATTATCCCCAGTGCTGTTGAAATATTTCGTTAGCACTTGAGCAGTTTAGCAAACTCCCCACTGTAGAGACAGTATTATATGCATTTTTTGCTTATTCTTTTCTCCTGCAGACGGGTAACTTTGTTCAAGGGTATTAAAACCATAATGCTGTCTGCTAAGCATTACTGATCAGATAGACATAAGACTACTTTTGCACTTACTTTATCTTTGCCTTTTTTAAACTCATAATCATTAGAGTGAACTGAATATGATTTTAAAAATTATATGGCATAAGAATTATCTGAGCCCTCAAATTATCCTTCACAACAAGCTCTCAAGACCAATTCTAGAATATGAGGGGCAGATTTTTTTGCTACAGTTGAGAAAACAGCAGAGGTGGCTTTTAGTGGCACTACAGTATGCTTTGTGGTACTCTGACATGGGAAAAGGATCAACAAGTGGTGAATTATATTAAAAGGTGATCTAACAAAAAATTTTTGAACACACAGGTTTTGTACATGAAGGTGGCTGAATCACTCACTCACCCTGTCTAACATTTGTTAGTATGTCAAAACAAGCAACATGCAAACAGTTTTAATAGTGTCCTGTTGCAGGGATAGTATGAAGATTCACTTGCAGAGGTCTGGGTTGCTATTTTTCTTTTTGCCATATGTTTATTTGAACTTTTTTTTCCTTTTTCTGTTTTGTTTTGATGAATTTCTTCCATTAGCAGCAATAAATTGTTTAATGTTGAAAATTGGATTGGAAGAGTGGACTAGTACAAGGCTTGAGAGAAATGATAGAAAGAGTAGCCACTGTAAGTTGTGAAATGTACCTCTGAAAAAGCTCTCAGAAATTTATTATTTATAGCAGGATATACTGCTTGATATGTGGCATTCTTTGATCAGTATGAGTATTGCCTCAGTGCTCTAACGTGATGTTATGGGGCACTGTGATTTTGCAGATGTCATCTGTCAGCTGAGATGTGCAAGTGAGATCTTGACCTCTAGTGATCAGAAATTGTCTTGTGGTGGTTTTCACAAGAAAAGAGATCATACCAATTCCAGCTGGGCCTAATTCAATTACCCAAATCATCCTGCTAATTGAATTGTGCATGTTCTTCATTGCTTTCTGCTACAAAATTTTGTTGCTAAACACCATTTCATTGGTGAATATTACAAGCTCTGAGGATGGTTTGTTATAATTCAAGTAGAGCAGAATAGAAAGTAGTGCCTAGTCATTACATAGACACAGCTATTGTCTTAATTAAAATATTGCTATCCTGACTACCAAAAGGAACACAAAAGATACAGAAAGAAAGGAAAAAACCAGATTTTTCAATTTATGTCAAAACTAGGAAAATACCTTTTGCTCTCTGTAGTTTATCTTTTGGTGTTGGGGTTTTTTTTTTGTCTTGGGAAACTTTTTCATATATCTCATCTTCTGAAAAGTTGTAGGGTATGCAAGAAGTTGCAGGTCAGCATTTCAGAACCTCATTACACCTGGAGAGATGCTGAGCTCAGCAGGATGAATAGAAGGCATTTGGGTAATCAAGCAGAAATATAGTTTAACTATCCCTTAGTTATTTTATCAGTGGGTGGTATTGGCAAGAATCTGGAGCAAGAAGTTTGCAGTGCTAACTGATTTGAAAAGGGTTTTTTCAAAGTGATAATACATAGTGGTGTAATTAGTGGTAATACAGAGCCTCCACATGCATATACCATTTCTGCAATACTATAACTGGTGGGTGACCCTGGAGAAGAAGCATTTTGTTTGTAGACTGGATCCCAATTTGTTGGCTTTATATTTAAAGGAAAAAAGTGAGTTAATTTAACTATTTTCTGTGTCTTTTCCTTTAGAAGCCCGTGATTCACAGCTATCCAGATATATGGCTATCATAGCTGATGATCTTTGATTGGTTTTATTTTTTGTTTACTGAGAGCATTCAATGTTTCTGCAAGAGACATAAAAATTTTAACTTTGATTCTTGGTGGACCCATCTGTGAATTTTAGTTCTGATTCTGAATGTGAGGTCATTTTTCTTAATTCTTGCATAACTCTATAGTAAATTTGAGCAAAAAGCATCATGAGAAATCATCTCTTGTGGTTGCTCACATTTATATGTGAGTCATTTCTATGGCATTGATTTTTCCTTTGGAGTGAGCAGTTCATGAGCTTAGTATTTGCTATGGGGGTGATCTGCAGAGGAAAGAGAACAATTGGTACCAGCAGGTGAATAGTGCACAGGATTGTTAAATACAGCATACTTGCCCACTGTACTCTGTTCCTTGAGGATTATGAACGTAATTTAATTCCCACCGTATGGAACTGGATGGCTTTTAGCTGGATTCTCCCCTGGCTGGTGCAGGGAAATGCATGTTTCTCTGCAGCACAAAGGATCCTTCTACTAGAGAATAATCTCAGAGGGAGACGGTGTTGGTTGTATCACTGCCTGGCCTCAGGGCCTACATTTTACCTGGGGAACATAAAAACTGGGAACAGCTGCAAGTGGGATGTTATGTATTAACATACTCTCCCACTCGCTTTCCTTTCTCCTGCTGTTTTCTTGATGCTCTCTATTGAGTGTTGACGGTGGGGTGGTTGCAGTTGTTTTCCACTGCTACCGCTTGCCCACTAACAAACTTTCTACTGTCAGCAATTACAAGATTTTTGCTGGATATGCTAGTAGGCTTCAATGCCAGTGCATCCTGCTCTAAAAGCAGAAGTTTCTTTTCTACTCACTTTGGCTACATAGCGGATGAGAAGACACCAAAGCAGCTTGTTCATGTGGTAGTGCGTACATGTGTTTGTGTGGTGCTGTTCTTAAGCTCATATGCTTTGTTTTGCCTTAGGACTTTGGAGTCCAAGCAGCTTTAAATTGTGTCTCCTTGAACATGTTCTGAAAACGGAACAAACCTAGCGACCAGATCTATGTGTGAGTTTGTCTGCACAGAGTTTGTCTACAGTGCACACCTACAGAGGTGTGACCGCGATACACCGCAAGCTTGAAGTCCGTGGGTGGGACACAGAGAAAGGTGTGCTTGTAGATGTACACTCAAGTCAGCTGACGGGACCTCAGTGACGCTGTTTTATGTAGCTCGCCTACCACAAAGGCTAAGGCTACATGTCTGGCTAGACGCATCTTTAAGTGCCTTGGCCCTAATAGGGTTGATATCCAATGGGCAAGCTGGGTTTCACTGCTTGCCTCAGCTTTCCATCTGTAAGTTACCACTTGGGACACCTGCTTCCTTACCTCTCTTGTCATGTGCTAAACATTCATTATGCACTAGTCTTAAAATGTGTTGAATAAAAAAGGTAACAGACTGATTAAACCAATACTTTACTTGTATGACATTGCTGTGTCATTTTGGGGCAGCTGTGTCTCCCCTCTATATTTGGTATTTCAAGGATCACAAGAAATTAATTCCTTTATAGTTGCATTTGACTTGCTATCTTTTAAAATGAATGAAATATGAATTATATACCTTTTTAGTGAAATATTCAGCACATCTCATTTTGTTGTTGTTGCAGCAATCACTGAAAAGAAGAGGGAGCAAAGACCTACCAAAATCAGAAAAAAAGTCACAGCAGACACCTACAGAGGTATGTTGTAATAACTGTAGCCTGGATTCTCATGTGGAGGCTTCAGGGACACTGTGGAAATGATGTACATGACTTGTAGATTTGCACTTTACTTGCTTGTTTGCTTTGTTCTTTGTTTTCCTGTATGCTGTGCAATGGAGAGCTCTTACCCCAGATCTGCAGTCAGACAACACTATGTCAAGGACCACCTAAACAAACTGCTGGTGTTGCAACAGAACCCACCAGCTTTCATGTACTCTATATTTTAGGCAAAATAAGTAAATGGGAGCACCAGTGTAACAAGATTATAGGCCCTTTGTGTACTGACTTCAGGATTTTTGAACACTGTAAAGTCTATTACAGTGTTGCAAACCTAGAAAATATAAGGATTTTTTACAAGCCACCCCCACCCCCACAATGTATTTTCTGGGGACTGTGCAAACATTAGTTGCAAGTAAAATAGTCTGTTCCCCTCTTTTAAATTTAAGTGTTTATTTCCCTCTCATTTATTGATCAGTGAAAAAATGATTGCAGGAAAATCTCTTAGTATCTAAAACTGTACCTGTGATTGTTAATCTTGTAATTGAAGGCCATCCACTGGAGGTCTCCTGTTTTACATCAGGTTTCTTCAAATACTACTTTTTCTTTTTTCTAAGGAGGACAATGAAGACCTGAAATGCCAGCTACAGTTTGTCAAAGAAGAAGCAGCCTTGATGAGGAAGAAAATGGCTAAGATCGATAAAGAGAAAGACAGATTTGAACACGAGCTGCAAAAATATAGATCATTTTATGGGGATTTGGACAGTCCCTTGCCAAAAGGCGAAGCAGGTGGGCCACCTACCACAAGAGAAGCTGAACTCAAGCTTCGATTGAGACTGGTGGAGGAGGAAGCTAACATTCTTGGGAGGAAAATAGTGGAACTAGAAGTAGAAAATAGAGGACTGAAAGCAGAACTTGATGATTTAAGAGGAGATGATTTCTCAGGGACCGCTAACCCGCTCCTGGGAGAGCAGAGTGAATCCCTGTCAGAATTACGACAGCATTTGCAGCTAGTAGAAGATGAAACAGAATTGCTGAGGAGAAATTTAGCTGATTTGGAAGAACAAAACAAGCGCATAACAGCTGAGCTGAACAAATACAAGTACAAGTCTGGGGCCCATGAGAGCTCTAGGCACCATGATAATGCCAAGACAGAAGCATTACAGGAGGAGCTAAAAGCTGCACGAATGCAGATCAATGAGCTGAGCGGCAAAGTCATGCAACTCCAGTATGAGAACAGAGTCTTAATGTCCAACATGCAACGCTATGACTTGGCCTCTCATCTTGGGATCCGTGGCAGTCCCAGAGACAGTGATGCGGAAAGTGATGCAGGAAAAAAAGAGAGCGATGATGATTCCCGCCCCCCTCACCGCAAAAGGGAAGGCCCCATCGGTGGGGAAAGCGACTCCGAAGAGGTACGCAACATTCGGTGCCTGACACCCACGAGGTCTTTTTATCCAACACCATCTGGGTGGCAGAAGAACTTCACTGACAGACAGCAGATGAAGGACATTCGCTCTGAAGCTGAGCGGCTGGGCAAGACAATAGATCGCTTAATTTCTGACACCAGCACCATCATAACAGAGGCGAGAATTTATGTAGCTAATGGGGACCTCTTTGGACTGATGGATGAGGAAGATGATGGCAGCAGAATACGAGAGCATGAGCTTCTTTACCGGATCAATGCACAGATGAAGGCCTTCAGGAAAGAGCTCCAGGCTTTCATCGACAGACTCGAAGTTCCAAAGTCTTCGGATGATCGAAGTGCAGATGAACCTTTGTCAGTGAGTCAGGTAGACTTTTACTTATTACGGCCTACAGGTAAAAAGGCTCTGCCAAGTGAATTAAGCCTTAAATTCGATGTATGGCACATGAAAATTCTTTATTCTAGACAGTGGACAAAAATCTCCATTTCTTAAATTATTTTAAATCCTCATTTGGCCATATGAAACCTTGTTCTATCAATGGGGCTGTTTTTAAACAGTGAATAAGTCTGGTCTCCTGGAATTTAAAACAATTATGCTCTAGGAGATGGAAGTTTGTGCTCCTTTCTGGCTTTGCAACCGCATTTGCCAGAGTTGTGCCTTCATCGCCAGTAAAGGCAGTGCAGACAGCATTTTTGGCACATAAATGAACATGATTGTTTTCTTAGTGGTTGGGTTCCTGTTAAATGAATAAAAAGAAAATTTTATTAATGTTAAACAGGAGTAAACATTAGATTTCCAAAATTATAGACAATATGACAAACCACAGAGAAAAATAAACCATGCAAATCTACTTTACAGAGTCACAGAGGCATGCGGTAGCGTGAATATTGGAATTGCTGTAACTGTTTGTATCTTGTTGAAGGCCTGTGGGTCACTGCTTACATGCAGCAGGGACTAGCATCTTTTCTGTAGTTCATTTTTATGCAGAATTGTTTCAGAGAGGTTTTGGGGAGCAAATTCCTTGCTGACTCGAGATCTTTTGCCATGAAAAATGAAAATTACCTACCCTTATCTTACAATGCAATCCTATAGTTGGCAAATCTTGTTATTGCTCATGGTATTATCCAATGTTTTAGTAAGTCTCTTGCTGTGTTAATTTACTTTGTGCGGTTGTGCTAGTTTACAGTCAAAGTAGTTGCCAGGTGAAGCTGAAAGCTATTTCTTATTCCTATGCTGACTAATTAGTCTTTTGTTTCCTTGTATCAGAAAGTCACAGACGCAGTGAGTTTAAAGTTAATAAATTACTCTACATGTATTGCATGAAATCAAACAGAAACGGCATTTAGCATGCTCACTTTCTGATCTAGCAATAGCTCTGAGCTTGTAGAGCTCCCATTAGCTTAAAGGCAGAGCACTGCATGGGCTTATACAAATTTAAACCAAACTAATTAGTATTTTCTCTAAACAAATAACAGCAATAGTTAAATCGGACATTTCGGGGCTTGACCATGCAGAACTCCTACTAAAGTCAATGGGAGATGGACACCTGGTCCCTCCACAAGCATAGTCTGGTTCACTATTTATTTTGTTGAAACTTTGGACTTGCTATTCCGTTAATTGACTGTTCTCTTTGTCTTTGTATTTACCTTCCCAGATGTTCCAGCCTATCATTTTACTTATTCTCATCCTTGTATTATTTTCATCCCTTTCATACACAACAATATTTAAGCTTGTCTTCCTTTTTACACTGTTTTTTGTACTGTAAGCCATTCATCATTTACTGTTCATTGTAGTATTATTTTCAGTTTGTTTATTTTGTCCACCCTCCAAGATAAGAAGTGCAAGAGACATAGTTTCTGTAATAGCCACTGCTGTAAAAACACTGAAGACTACTTGTTTGCCAAAACCAAAACAAAATCAAAAAAACTGCAAAAAACATACCAAAAAGTCACCCAGTTGAATAGGAAACCCGCTCACCACGGTGTTCCAGGTAAGCAAACAGAAAATGATATTTTTCACTTTATCTGGTTTTATAATTTTTTAATAAAAACTCCCTGAGTGACTGGAACCAATTTAATATTCATTAATTTGCACCAAATCAGAAGTGAACCAGAAATATGCAGAGTGGGTGTGAGGAGTCTGTTCCTTTCCTCTTCCCACTCCCAGCAAAAGAATTTGTATTCTAGCCACATATGAATAGTAAAACCACATTCGATGTGTATTCTGCAATTGTTTGTCACAGCTTGTACATATTTTGCATGATTGTGATCATAATGATTTTCAGCACTGTATTATGTGGATTAGACACCACGGAGGGGACAAGATCAGAACAGTTGGTATATAGAGCACTAGATCTGGAAACATGGCAAGGAGCTGGAGCCCCTGAGAATGAGATGCACGAGGGGGAGGTATCAGAGTAGGCGAGGAGTCTTCTGAGAGATGTAGGCTGGCTGCATTCTCTCTGTGCTCTAGAAAAATGGCCACGCTACAGTCTGACTTGAACTGAAGAGAGTGATGCTAGTCACCTTGTCTTATGTCAAATATCTTTTCCTAACAACCTAGTTTATCAGGTAACATTTTCCAGTCTGTAGCCACCAAGGCTCTGGATTCTCTCTCCAGGTTTCAGAAAGAGTTTTGAATGAACATGGTAACTCTTGGCTTGTGGAGTGATCCCCATCTGACCATGCTGTTGGTAGTGAGCGACCATAGGTGAGGGAAGCTTGTATACATAGGTGTGCATCAATAGTCACTAAATATTCCTGTCTTGCCTATGAGAGGCTGCACTGAGAGCGCAGGTGACTCATGATCTTTCTATTACACTGAACATAGTTCCTACAAACAGTAGAGCTCCCACTATGAAAACCTCACCTGAAATGCCTAATGAAGCTCAGTTTTCTTTTCTGTTTTATTCAACCCATATTGAAACCACTGAGTCCCACAAATTTGCATTCTCCAAAGGTGCTCGTTTACAAGTAAGTGTATTAATGAATTTTTTTGGTGCAGATGCCCTGATAAAAAAATCTAGTAATGAATAGTGGTAATAAATAAAGCAGCTGTTTTTCTAGCTGGCAATAAGGATTCCCTTTATTTATCATGCTAGCACTTAGTTCACTTAACACATTCGCCAGTGAGAACAGTTCATCTTCGTGCCTGGCTTGTGCTCTGCTACCTGAAATAGTAGAGAGACACCTTTTTGAGGGAAACCCCTCAGAGGGAAGCAGAGGTTGGGCAGTAAAATTTATTTTACGAGAACGAAAAAAATAGTAAACTCAACATTCAGTATTAAACAAAGTTTGTGGTTTTCTCCCTGTTTGTCTAGCTTTCCCTCAGCATACTCTGCAGCTGTAGTAACCTTGATCAGTTAAATCATTTAACCTTCATTTAATCCAAATACTTATTCCTACCAGGGGATGTTGTCATCAATATTTATTTTGTAATTAGCAAGATATGTCTAAAGGAAATTATAATCAATATATGTGAGATTAATAGACAGCCTTGCCTGGTGTCCTCATTAAAAAGAAAGTCAGGCCCAAAGTAATTTCAAGGAGTTTCTAAGCTGCTCTAATTTATGCTCAGTTGCCTAAAAGTTAAGTTCCACATATTAGAAACTATTATGACAAGATATGGTCAAGCATATCATCCTTTCACAGTGATTTTCTGTTACTCAAAAGATAGTTCTCAAACCAGTGGGAAAAGGCCCTTCTGCTGCTTTTCTTTCAGCAAGTGCTGTAAGAAATTTTTCAGCAATTGCTCGAGAAATTATTCCCCCCCATGGATTTGCAGTTTGGACATTAAAAGTATAATAATTTGAGGCTTAAACTTGTCATACTAAATCTTAGCATGAGACTGACTTTTTGACTTTCTTTCTGTTTTAGTGTCTCTCTTGGGGCAAGAAAAGATCATTTGGGTTTTGTTAAATATTACTGGCCCAATCCCATAAAAGAGAATAAATCATACTTAAATCTGATCTGAAGTTTTGGGCTTTCAGGTTTTTACCCACACTTGTTTATACCTTTCTCAGCCTTGTATGTAATAAGGATGAGTAGAGACAGTTTGATTTACACTGAGTGTATCAGTAACAGTACTACTGTAAAGTAGTAGGAAAGTATAATACATTGAATTCATATATTGAATACATCTTGGAATTAATTGGGAAAGAATTGCTTCTTTCTCAGAAATCAGAAAAGGTGAGGATGAACCTCCTCAGAAAAGTGGAGATAACCTCTGCACAGGACTGGCTATTATAACCCCATTGATGTCTCACAGTGTTTTTTCTGGTGTTTAGCTGGAACTTTCCTCATCCTAATTCTGCCAGGCATCAACAAAGCAAATCAAAGCCGAGACCTTTTGGGACATTTAGGGAGCTATGGCACAAGCTACAATCTGAAATTAAAACATACCGAAGCATACAAAATCACTTTAGAAGCTCCCCACAGTCTTTGAATCTGTGATGAGCAAGGGGAACAGTGAGGACCCCTGCAAACCTCAGTACAGAGAAATCTCAATGAGAAATGAGATGTGTTTTTCATGTTCTTCTGCATTCAGCTTGAAGGGAGTGATTGGAGCTGCTTCTCTGTTTCACACCAGATATTGCAGGGAAGCTCACAACCCTCCATTTTTCACTATTTTAAAAGCTGCTGAGGAAGCTAATAAAATCAGTATGGACACCTGTCCATAGCCGGAAGATAACACATAGCCAAAGAAATAAGTGTTCTGTGTCTTGCTAAATTGGAATAACTTGGTCTCACAAAGAAATGCAATAATTATACTTGCCAAGAAAGGAAGCAGATTCTTCCCACGCGGCTACTGGCCTGGTGGGCAAAGTCCACCTCGCAGGTGAGTGAGTAAATGCAGCCGAACATGTCCACATCCTCTAGCAGGAGTGTGTGGGAGTCAGGCAGGACAGAGCCAGCCAGAACACTGCTGATTCACTAGGTTCTGTCTGCCGCATAGCGTCTAATTCTGCAGAGCGATAATAAGAAGAATATAAGATTTTTGCTTTTATGTGGCAACAAGCTGGATATGCCAGGTTACCTATCAGTTCAAATCTTACTTAAACCAATAGCGGATTCATAGTTCCTATTTTGGAATATTCTGGGCAAATATTAATATTCTAGCAAAAACGGCATTGACTTTGAACCCCAAGATTGCCTTAATTTTACATTGCTCTGAAAGATTAAATTTCTGTTTCCTATGTTCCCAGAGAATTCATTCTATGTTCTTTCAGAAAGAAGAGATCTTGCATCTATAGATCTAATTCTGACATTTTTACACTTGTGTAAATTGGCAGTAACTCTAATGAATTTTTATGCCGTTTAGAAACTAGAGGCATTTTTTCCTTTAATGCAACCAGATACATTCAATTAAATTTGTTTCCTATTCAGAGTCGGCTCTGAATGCCCTGACAAAATACCTCTACAACTATTTTCTTTACTCTTACTGAAAAATTCCCATGATACTAGAATGATAATCTTCTCCAGGATCAGAGATACTTCTTTCAACCAAAAAAATCCATGCCTGAAGCTCCAGTTAGAGATAGAATAAGTGTGTGCTGACACATGTCACCAGTGCTTCAGAATCAAAACTAGAAGAGAGCAGGTGCTATAGTGCAGAAATATGCCTGGCAGTCGGAAAATAGAAAATTGCCAAAAACATGGCTGTCTAAATATGTGTTATAAAAAGAGATGAACTGCACATGAACTTTGGGAGTTGTTTACAAAAACAAGCAGAGCTTTAGGATATTAGATGCCCTTCTCCTTAATCACCCCAGAATTTGATAGGTGAGTAGGAGACTTCTAAAGGCATCAGTATCAGGGACGTAATTCCCATTGGCTTACATTTCTGTCTCTGATTTAATGCCAGGGGAAGTGATATTCAAACCCAACTTTTGCCATTACACATGCAGTTGCCTATGGGGAAAATTACAGTGGCTCTATTTAAAGTAAACATCTAAAGTATCTGCCACCGATTTCCAATGTAACCTTGGAGAAGTGACATGACATAACGCTGTTGGCTCTATTTCTCCACTAAGTTACATACTATCACAGAAGTGCACAACAGTAGGAGGAGACAGAATTTGTATTCCCTTCTGCCCATTTCCCAATTTATATATTCACTCTTGAGATGTATTTGCCAGGATTATCAAGGTGTACATCATTCAGGAATCTGAGGTTGTGGTTGGGTTGATTACAGTGGCAGCAGTGCTGTTCTTGTTACCAAATTTATGTGGACATAACAAAATGGGTGTGCCATAACCAAGCTAGTACAGCAGAACTGAAGATGTTCTAAAGTGATCTTGAGCACAGACTATTAACCAGAACACACACTACCCTGAGTATAAAATCAGATTATAGCCCATGCTGAAACTCATGCTCCTTTGTCTTCAATCTTGCATGATGAAGAGAAATTTAGCAGAGGGCTTGTTTAAAATGCTTTTGCACCTTTTTTGTTGAGATGCTTACTTTTAACACAAGCAGAGTTGACACCAGGTATGGACAAAGTACACTTTGCCTGTGGAAGCGGTGTGTCAGATGTAATAAACCTACAATAGCATTCCTGTTTATTTTGCCTGTGCCAGAGGCCAGAAAGTCACATTTGCTGCTTTGTCTGCTGCTGGTGGAGGAGGGACAGTCTCTGTTGGAGAACTTTTTTTTCCTCAAAAGCAAAAGTCACTACTGCTACACTTAAGGGCGTCCAGAGCAATGAGCCCAGGTTTTTAGAGCTCACTTATTCATGTTTTCTTTGTCCCAACTTTTCTCTACCTTTCCCATATTAGCATGAGTTTAACGTGGCCCTGTGACCTATGAGTGGGGTCCAGCTCTTGTCTCCTAATGAGCCCCTCAGTCCCACACATTTCTAATTCCTCACACTGACAGAAATGTAGGCTTTTGCCTGAGCGAAAGCTCAAGCCTGGGATTTAGTCCATTGTTTTCTTTAATTTTACTGTGTTCTGCTTTAAAGCGTTCGTGTAACAAGACGAGGGGCATGGAGTTAGCAATATTAAAGACACAAGAATAATAGCCTATGCTGACGGATAAGAGTAAAAAAAAATGTCTTCAGAGTCTGTCTTGATTTGCGGTGGTGCAGCTGCGCTGGCTTCAGGGAGGAGGCAGGGCTGTGGCACCCAGCCTCCAGCTGTGGGCTCGGTGCTGCTCCCAGGCACTCGGGCTTTGCTCCCAGCCGTGTCAGCTGGCGTCTTGGGACGTAACCTCCCAAAAGAAAGTCACGCTGTTGCTTTATGAACAGGGAAGTTTTAAATCCTCGGAGTTTAGAGGCTGGGGATTTTCTTCAGGAACGTTCAGTTGTTTACTTGGGCAACTTTGTTCAATTTTTAGATCATCTTTTTGAAATTTTCACTAACGGCCCATGTCCCATTATTTATGTTCCATGGGAGCAGAATAACCACCCCAGTAATGTATTCCCCGAGACTTACAGCTAGACCATATAAGGAGAAAAAATGTGTTTTCCCTGAAACCTGCTTTGGTATTTACTACAAAATACACCCAGAGCTAAAATATTTATGCTGTGCATGGATTTTATCACAGATAAAACCTTATTGTTCTGAAGAGGAGAGTGCTGACTGAGCAAAGGATGTGTGAATCCTCATATCATGTCCTTCGTCTCACTGATCCTCTTGTCATCAGCTGCTCTGCCCACAAAAACATACGCCACTCCTGCTTAGTGCATTCAAAGACACCTATCTTATAGCAGAGTTTGTCCAGACTTTTATGCTGCATGAGTCAAGTACTTTGTGGCCCTTCTCCAGGGTACACGTGGGGACAAATGTTCCCTGAAATACGAATTTTCTGACTACAGGTGGTCTCAATCACTGACCGCAGCTGCACCCAAGCACAGGTACCTGGCAGGGCAGTGGTATGTGCATGAAGCTTCTGCCCCGGGTCTCTCTCGGTGTGCCAAATGAAAGAGATTTAACACACGGTGCAGCAGGAGAGTTGCTGTGGTGGGCAGAGACGCAAGGAGCGAGCCGAGCTCCTCCTGCCTGCAGCTCAGCAGGGGGAGCAGCTAAATTTCGCTGTGCTGCCTTCAGGGTCTCCCGTGGACTGTCACTTGCTGGCTCATTTTTTGTCACATACGCTCCTGCCCTCACCCCATGCCGACACTCGCTATGGGCACTCCCAGTGCTTTAAATTCAGGCCAAGGTGGTTTTGGACCTTCCTTGCTCGCCTTATGCCAGGGATGAGTTTCCCTGTGCAACGGAGATTCTCCATTGAATTTCAAGTGCTTTGCTTTGCTGAGACACAAAGTATCTTAACAGACTGGAGAATCTGATCCAGAAACTTTATAAAGTAGCAGGAATATTTGGGTATATCCCAAAGAAACTGTTATCACCATTCCCAGAATGCAAGACAGTAGGATTACACAGTGCCCAATAATTCTGCACTTCATAAGTGGTAGCATAGTTAGAAGACAGAAAAAGATTTTACGGAGGAATGGTTTGCTTTTAGCTCTTTAAGATAGCTGTTAACCAACAAAACTGCTGCTTTAAAGAAAGTACCTTTATGAAGCAGTTTATGGGGATCAAGTTGCAAAGCTCAAAATGTTCATACTAAAAAATATAACCCTGAAAACTGGGTCTGGAAGGCAGCAAAGAATCTTCCTTTACAACATGGACGCTAATAAAAGAAACCAAAAATTGCCTATTGTCATAGCTTTAATATTAACACTGACTGCTTTGGCAAGCTTTAAAGACTGGACTGCACTATAAAACCTAAAAATGTCCTGGACTTGGAGTTGTTTACACAAAATATGAGGAGATATAAAGTTACAGAGCTGGGGGTTGGAAGAGATGGCTTTAAAACCATCCTCCGTGCACTGACGTCACGTGGAAGCCAGCTGCTGGGATGATGCTGAACGGAACTGTTTTTCAGTTTGCAAAAGTTGCGGAGTTATTCAAAGACAGTTGCAAATGCTGCCCCAGTTGAAAGGTTGTGTCTTGCTTAGCTTTCTTATTTCTTTTAAAGATCAAGATTCGCAGAACTGGATCCCAGCTAGCTATGCATTTCATTGCTTTCACTGCTGTTTAGAAATGGACTTCTAAAGGATTTCTTATTCCATGAAAGGTACGGTTATGGTTTATTTTAAATCAGTGGTTTTGAACAGTTAAGATTAAAAAAGAAAACAATTTACTAATGTGGCAAACAGTTATTTAAATATCTCTCTAATGTTATCTATATGTAATGTGGTGTTCGTATATGTTATATATCGTCTTTATTCTTAGAGAAAGACTCTTCATTAGTTCAGTCAGTTTCTTCAGAGCAGGCACAGATATATCAACAGAACAGGGATGACAGGTAGCATTGTGAGCACTCGAGTCCCTTTCTTTCTTTCTCGCGCTCTCTCCCTTCCTTCATTTTTTCTTTCTTTCTTCCCTCTCTTCTGTTTTTTCTTTCTTTCACTCTCTCATTCCTTCCTTTTTCTTTTTTCTTTACCTTCTCTCTCTTTCACTGTCTCACTCAATTGTAGTTTATTTTTATGTATAAAGTGCACAGTATTGTGACACATGGCACACTTTTGTAGTTGAACAAATACATAAATTTACAATTTCCTTAGTCATCTAAAATATAGCACTTTCTTGGAAATATAATTTAATCACTTTTTTCCCTGTAAAATCAAGGGAAGATTTGTATATCTGAATGGTTGTGCACATCCAATCTAATTAATCTCTGTTGAAAAATAACTTCTCAGCTGATGTCACTGCAGATTATTTTCTGAAGTTGATAGAGGCTGGTTGCAAACTATGTTGCATTTTTAATATGTGGATAGAAAAGGCACAGGTAAGATATGGGGGAATAATAGCATTAACATCAAATAGTTGCTTAAAACATTTTTTTGCTTGCAAGGAGGGAGGGCTAAAGGAAGAGTTACGGGAAAATGAAGCTGATGTAGGCAAAATTGATTATTTGCTTGAATTTGATTGCTGTAATGAGCTTCTGACCTTGTCTAGGACATGCAGAAAGTGCCAATACTGCAAGAGCACAGATACTGTTCTGATCCACACAGCAAATTATAATGTGGCATTTTACATCCCTTTGGGTTGCTTAAGCTAAGTGAAATACCCATGGGGACATCTTGGTGCACTATACAGACAGAGGGTATACTACCAGGACTACAAATTGGTTTTTATTGCTAATAGGGAAAAAAACTAAGCAACTACCCCCCCCCCCCCCCCCCAAACCCCAAAACCAAATACCAAGAAAAAAAGGAGGGAGGAAGTCATAGAAATAAGAGTTAAAACTCTCTGAGGAATTTATCCACTGTACAATAGCAGCAAAACCGTATAGTCATCCAGCTGCTAACATCAATAAACATGAGTTTTCTTCTCAGAATTTATGTCAAGAGGAAATCAGAGAAGCATAAGAAGCAATACAAGTTTTTTGTGGATCTTAGAGCTACAAGTGGCTATCTGTAATTTCTGTAACTAACCTCTTCCAAGACTTGATTTCATTTTGGTGGTGTCCAATCCCTTTTTATAATCAGAGTCCCATATGAAACAACTTGGAAACTGTTAAGATGAATGCTAACATGGCAATAGTAGTTCCCCACACTCAGAAACCATGAGGAGCCTTTTCAGTGTTATATGCATACTTGAAAGGAGTACATATTATATGTCTATTCTTATTTGTGTAAAGAAAAATATGCTATATAGTGTTGACTTTCTAGTAATATGCTGCTGATTGAAGCATGGTCATTATTACTAATAGTGCACTAGCAAAAATTACCATTTGTGCAAGTTGTGGACAGATTAGGCCTGCCTCTCTTGTTCATGACTTTACAGCATTTATATGTTTTTCTATTTCTTTCTGACATGTATTTGAAGGATTCTAGTGGAGTGGAGTTGACTTTTGTTTGTTTCTCAGAGATGTCTTGAAAGGTTATAAAGACATAAATGGAGCCAGAAAGGAAAGGAAAGGAAAGGAAAGGAAAGGAAAGGAAAGGAAAGGGCGCAAATTACTGTACTAAGAATTGCAACCTTTGAATTAGCAAAGTGAGAAAGCATTGAAATGTTTTTAAAGTTCATTAGCAATAGATGTTTAGATTGCAACAGGTCTTAAGTGCAGTGAAATTTTTTTGTAAGTTGTTTTTGGTCAACACTTACTGAAGCCTGCACAAAGCTGAAACATTGGCCTGGAGAGGTGCAGTCTCTATAGCCTGGCTGCCTTCCCTAAGAAGCCATGAGCAAACCAGTGCTTCACTTCTTTTGTGATGAGAATGCTGTGCTATCTTTCAGCAGCTCTTAGTTTCAAGGAGTTTTATGGTTTTATAAAGCAGGTGGCGGAAGAGGGGTCTGAAATCTGTCTGTAGATAGTTGAGGGACAGATCGCCATTTCAGAGCTCCAAGGCAGGTGTGAGTCAGAGTTTGAAAGAGGAAGCTCCAATACCACGTTACATGGTGACATGGTTACACCATCGTGAAACAGGCTGACAGAGATGTTTAGAGAATAGTCAACTTGTTCTCTAAGTCCTCTGTCCAAAATTGCTTGGGGTAAACAGTTTTGCAACCCCTGAGTTAGGATTGGGCCCATGGCTGTCCGTTGAGAGACCCTGTAGCAGGACTTCTTATGACCCAAAGACCTGAATAACCCATTGGACTTCAGCTGAGCTCTTCTGCTTACTTGTTCATGAAAGAAGCTGACTCCAAGTTTGGCATCAGCTTCCCAGTCAGCTGAAATAACGCAGACACTGGTAAGCAGTGATTACACAGTAGCCACAGCTGAATCAACAAGGCTTGTCCAATAAAATACAGGATGGGGAAGAATTTTGCGTGAATCTCAAGAATGAATTTTCACTATATCAAAGAAAATGTGGGCGATAAAATGGGCAGTTCCTGTGAGCTGACAATCATTGCCCATCGGTCAGGGAAATGAACAAATTCCATGAGGGTAAACTGGGTTTACCCCTAGTTAATTCTCTGGTAATTCATTTGCCTGCCTATACGCTTGGTTTCTGGCAGGAGACCAAAGCAATTCAGAGGCATTTTGTGACTAGAACTAGATTCCGTGTCCACCTAAGTAACCCAACAGCTGGCTTTGAGAGCCACAGTTAACAAACTCAAGTATCAGTGTGTGTGTACCAGCCATTATACCACAGGAGCTACCATAACTGAAAGAATGAGTGTTATTTTTGCCTTGCTGGCATAGTAAATGTGCTGATGGTAGTGTAGTTTCTATTGTAAAGCCTAAGGAAGCAAGAGGAACACCAGGCCCATAAAATCTGTAACTGTTTTACTCCAAAGTCAGATGATCAGGTCCAAAATATTTCCCTTAAAATATACATATTTAGTGGTTCAATTGATAATTTTTCATTCACAGATACTAAGATACTGAAGACTTCTGAAGGGGAAGGAGAAACTGAAGCACAAATTAGTTAAATATTCTGAGCAAGGTTTTGAACTTGATTTGAGTTAGTGCTATTGGAAAATAGTTTCTAGTTTTCCCTATGCTGGTCCTGGCACTAACATTTATAGATTTAGATTTGTAAATCCAAAATATATGAACTCTTTATAATGACCTGTAGTCCTTTATATAGTAGAATGATGCTTTCTACTGTTTATGTATGTTACCTGTTATTAGCTTTCCTGTCCTGTTTTCCTTCATGTATTCTAAAGTGTTCATATAGCCATGAGAATTTTCTGCATGTATCAAGTTTACAGTCTTCAATTGCCAAAATAATGTCACAGTCTTTGTCATGCTACATGCATGTGTGAAAGGAGTGCACGAGCAAACATGATACCTTTACACTTGCAGTTGTCTTTTGAACAAACGTAAAAATAGCTTTCACCCTCAAGGGCAGACGTTGCAGGATCCCAAGGCCCTGAAGTGCCATTCAATATCATGCAGACTCGAATTTCATTGAAAACAGGTTTATAATGAAGAATAATGGCAAAGATGCAAAGTGGCCACAGTACAGAGCCTGCTGTGGCAGATGTTCCTGAATTTTATGATGCCGGATGCGTGTCCCTCCTCCCCTTTCCAGACTGGGACTCTCTGCCTTTGCGTTTGTGTCCTATAATGCTTAGTTCATCCATATTCTAGTTACACTCCAGGTATATATCATGCAATTGGGTGATGCTGTCTCCTGCAAGCACATTTTGGTTAATTATTTGGGGGTTTTGCTTGGTTGTTTTTTTTTCCCTGAAAGCTCGAATCAAACACAAGTAAGACTTATTCTGATAAACTTCCAGGAAACATTCAGGGAAGAAAGACAAAAAGCAGAGCTATCTTCTTGGTCTTACATAGACTGTAACCATGGACCTGCGTAAACAACTGGAGAATACTGAGAGGAACTGGAATAAAGAGAAGATGGAATTGCTGGAGAGATTTGACAACGAAAGGAAAGAATGGGAGTGTCAATGGAAGGTCATGCAGAAGAAAATAGAAGAGGTACTTTTAAACAAAATTCTGAACACTAATATTTTCACTTGGGGTGAAGTGACGAGGGGTGGCTTCAATTTATTTTTTTTCTGAATTATATCCTATTTCTTATCTGTCACTGGAAGCTTCTAATAGCTGATGGTAAAATGCAGAGCCTGGGGTTAAGCAGTATTTCCAATTGCTCATTTAATAGTCATGAATATGAGGCAGGAGGTTAAATGTCACTTTGTGTGACGTTTGCTATGATATTGTTGGCTATATATACTGCTGCCAGTTCTGCTGGGCATGAGCCACGCTGCTCATATTATACATGCTTTTTTCAAGGACGTGCTGAACAACCACATATATGGGGTTTAGGAAAATGCGTATTTAGTAACAAAAAATCCAGGTATCATAATTCTCTGGCAAAAAGGAATTAGATGGCACAGGTCTGCTGGTGTAAATGGTAATATTAAAAATAATGTCATACATTAAATGCTGCATGATGCAGAATTGTTCTGGCTAGAACCTGCTCCATTTATGGGTTACTTTTAGTAGAGAAAACAGCTACAGTAAATAGCATGAAAGTCCTGACACCACTTGTGTTTACACATACTAACAGACGCTCACTTCCTGCCATTTCTAATGCATCTCCTTCCAGAAATAGTTAAGGATTATAAGAATAATTATTTATTATTCTTTTATCCCCAAATTTTCCCTGCAGCAGAACCCTCTGGCACTCTATAATGCATAAATTGAATCTGCCTTGGCAACATATAGAAGCAAGTTTTTTCACCACTGAGCTTTCCACATTTTTCATTCTAATATACACATGGAGTAGTTTTGCTTGCTCTCTGCCAACACCGTCCTGTGGCTGAGCAACACAGGAATGTATGGCAGAGATTGCTCACATGAAAATATGAGAAGGAAAATGATCAGAGCCAAATGAATTGCAGCCATACACTGCCCATTAAACCAGCCTGCAGCATACATAACTCCATAATGGCAGCTCTCTTATATTTACCTGCAGTTCTTGCAGATAGTCTTTACCACATTTTGTCTTTTGTGTTAGGACCTTTCTGTGCAGTCTTACCTAATTTCACCACCAAGGTGAGAGCGCTTCAAAAGTTAGTAATCTGATCTCTGTGGTTGAATTTCAGTTTGTTAGGTATGTGAGCTGTTTTGGAATGACGATAATGTGTTGTGAAAAGGTATTCTGGCTATTAGTAGTCCTGACAACGGCAGCAAAGACGATATTTTTTCCATGTTCGTTATTAGCATATGGATTAGGACAGTGTGACAGAGACAGAAAAAGAGATAAAGAATGGAATGGGGCTGAGGGGAAGAGAATGAAGCAAATCACTGGGTACTGCAGGAACAGACAAAACTGCAGATGGTACCCCAAAGTTATTGGTATCCTAAGATCCCCTCTTAAACTGAGTCTATAGCTGCCCTTGATTTCAGTTGCCTGACATTTCTTTGCCAGAAGCACCTGGCTGGAGAAAAGGGGAGATACCTTTTAAATGCCATTATCTGTAGAGGGATTTCCTCAATAAAACTTGTGCTACCTTATCAGCTTGTATTTTTATTTGGTAGTTTTCTCTAGCCCACCAAAACCTAACTTAATTCCTGGATTCCTCCAGGAAGACTTACGTGGTTTAGGAGATGATATTGTTGAGTTATGAGGTGTTATGCTTCCTTCTTACTGCTATGCTGAGTCCGTATGAAGCCCTCATTTCTTGGAAGTGACAAAGTTCAGCCCTCAGGTTCCATGAGCAGCTGGGCTTTGGGAGTGAAATCTGAAAGTCCAGGATGAGGTCAACTGTCAAGTCTCTGAACGTGAGAATACTTCTAATCCACAGCACTACCCATGAAATGGCCACATGTCCTTCATGTTGTTATTCTTTTTCACTGTCCTTCCAAAAGCTGTTGTGATGGCCTTGTGCACTGCGAGAGAGCAGGCAGGTGGCTGTTCAGAGGTCCCTGCTCTGCGGTTTCTTCATAAAAGCAAGTTAAGAATGAATGTTTATAAAGAGCCATGGGATTCTTGGCACTGGAAATGATACCGTAAGCAGAAGAGGTTTTTATGATGTTGCTATTTTTTCTAATTTATAATTTATCACAGTTCCCTAGTTTGAATGTGCTGGGTGACAGGAATTAACACCTTTTCATTTACTAATGAAGCCACTGGCTCTCAGCAGATATCATGAAAGACGATAAGAGGGTGACAGCACATCGCCAAACAGTACCATTCTGCAGTACTGATTTATCACTCCAGTCATAGGGAAGAATTCCATTTGCCTGAGAACCAGAAAAGTCTGCTCTCATGCAGATGGCATTGTGTGTGATGAGAATTCACTTCCCCTCCTTAAATTAATATACTTTAACAGGCTGCAATATAACCAGAACCCTCTCCCTCCCTCCCATTCCCTCACATTCCCCATCCATCACATCAGGGCTGTGTCCACCACTTAGTGTGCTGATATTACTTGGAAGACAACCTTACAGCTTCTTGCTCAAGGCAGGGCCTTTGACATCGTGAGGTCTCTTCCAGTCCCATCCTATGGGTGGAAGCCATAGATTAAAACCATGGCAAAGAGTTTGTGAATGGTAACAGACCTTTCCTCATCCTGTGACAGTAATGGTCTGTGAACTATCACACTATGTGACTCAACACTTTTCTACTAACACATGTATAAAATCTTTCCACCTGGTGTGAAACATCGTTTAAAACAGAAGTTGCATGTGTTCTTTTACCATAAAGTTCATCACAGTACCATGATTTAATAGATGGTTCTATTTTTTTTTCAGCTTTACCAGGAGGTAAAACTTAGAAGGGAGAGCAATATGAACGTCCATGATAATAAGGCCATTCAGAGCAAGATGCTGCAGCTGTCCATGCATTCCCCTACTTTGGAAGAGAGTGACACAGTGGAGCTGAACTATCAACACAATGTGGCAAATGACAGGATGGAAAAAGGGAGTTTGCTCAGTAAAACAGGACACGAATGTAAAGAAGCCAGAGCCAAGAGCAGAAACAATAGTCTGTTAATGGACAATCTGGGCTTTGACCGTGAGGAACCTGAAGATAGCCTCAGCATCAAAACTTCCAAGAAAAATGCCAAGAATTATATTGGTGATCTCAATGTAGTAAGTAAAGTATGAGCATGTTTCAGTTACAAGGGCGAAGAAAATACTGAGGGCTTTGGCCTGCCAGGTTAACCTAAAGAACCAATCTCCCTGATTTTAGCTTTCCAGCAAGGCACTGTCTCTACTTCCACCTTGGTTTGCTATTGATGAGCATCTTCTCACTGTTTAAATGTGTTAACTGCGTGCTCTTTACCTCTAGTCATAACTTGGGGGCATTTTTGTATCTTTCCTTGTGCTACTTTCCTCTGCTGTGAGTCTTAAATGCAAATCACCACAAGTTTCAAAATAATTCTGGAGATACCGTTTAAAAGACTTATATTAAAGAACTGTTTTTATATTTATAAAGGCTCTTAAGGAACTTGCCAGAGTCAGTGAAGAATTATGCAGCTATCAAGAGGAAATTCGAAAGAAGTCCAACCACAGAAGGTAAAAACATATTTGGACTCTGTAGCTGAGGAAGAAAATGAATGAGACTGTGTGTTCACTTCGAAGGGGGTTTTGCTGTTGAATTTATTAGGAGTTGGGCAGTTCCTATCCTCCTAGTGTTTCAGTGCTCAGCATAAAGCATTCAAATGAAAAATACTGAAATATGATACAAGGGCACATTTTACTGGCAAAATTGAGTTTATCTATAGAACCTACAAAATGAAATTAGTATTTATATGAGATGAAATTGTACTTGTTTCTGATGGTATATAGAGGATTGGGAAAATGAACAGACATTTCTGTCTGCCCAGGTCCCATTTCCATCTAGTTCTATACAACACTGTATGAGTTTGTTAGGCTGGGAGGTTTCTTACATTAAGCCTAGATCTAGCCTTAAGTGAGGGAGATGTGTCAGGGACTGACAATCCAAGAGTGCAAAGAAGGCAAGAGAAGGAAGAACAACCATACATTTGTACTAATGGCAAGATAGTAAGCCAAACCCTGAAAAGTATGGCAAATGAACATTCGGCCATCTGTTAAAAATTCAATGTTCATGGTCTCCTTTAGCAAGCTAAACACCAGTCTTCCTCCCGAGTTATGCAGAAATTCTCAGAACATAAGACTGAACCCATGGTGTGGCAGGGTGCACACCATGAGAGAGATTGAGAAAGGCTATGTCTCAGCTATGCTGCGACACCATGGAATTCTGCATCATGGAAGATCTTCTCAGATGGTCCCAAAGAGCAGAGGGACTTCTTACACTCCCCCATGCAATCAGTTGGCTGGCTGTCACTAATTTATTATTGTAGCTGGGTTAGTGTTTGCATCTTTAAAGCAAATAGATTCATAGCTGATGTATTGTTTCTAAATCCTGGCTGAGAAAGGTGATTTTTGAACAGATCTCAGAAGACACATTTGTACCATCATGTGTAATGTTAGGAAACCTACACGAGGGATGCACTGTGTCCTAAAGCTTTCTTCATTCAGTTCATAGTCAGGTAGACTCTCACTGGAGTTATAAGAATTCACAAGATCCCACTGTCCTTACTGTAGGATAGGTAAGAAAACAAGCAATCATCTACAAAAGCTCAGAAAAAGAATTTTAGTGGCAGGGGAAAAGCACACACTATTCCCTTTGTTGAGCTTTCTTGAAATTCCTCGTGTATGTTTCAAATATGCTGGGTGTATCAGCTGCAGCAAAACTGCTCCAAAATCTTTTTAAGCAGCCAGTGTTAAAACACCTGCTCATGGGGAGAATGAATCCATGCTGAGGTCCCCTGGGGGAATACCCTTATTGCTCATCCCTAAAACACCTCTCCTTTTATTTCCAGAATGAAGTCACTTCCTTTCCTGGGGGAATTTGAGGAAACCCAAAACACAGTTATTCTGCCTGAGATGAACCATGTGTCCAGCAATGAATCACAGACTTCAGTTGCTTTTGAAACAGAGGAACGTAATAATAGGAAGAATCTGATGAGCTCCACCAAGGCTTTGAAGGACATGTCTTATGGTGGTCTTACTGGGGATGGAGGAACAGACTTCAGACCTTGGCAAAAGAAAGAAGCTCCACCAGTTCCTCCACGGAGCACTTCTCGGCACCTAACAAACTCACTTTCTGCAGTTGTACAGCTTTCTGAAGCACCAATAAGAGATCCAGGCATCAAAAGCAATTGCAAGGCTCAGGACTGTAGGATTGGAAGGAAACTGATGAATCCTTCACCCTTAAACCAGAATGAAACTGCAGCAGCCTGTGCAAATGAGGGGCAGGCTGTGAAAGGTCCTGTGCTGGTAACTGCTGCAATACCTGTAACCAAAAATGAGTGCAATGTACCAGCAAGTTTCTGCCACAACACGTGGGCATACGATGTGGGCAAACTTGGAAAAGTCAGTAAAAGTGAACCTTCCCCACTGTCAGCCCAAAAGAGTTGTTCAGATGGAAATATGGCCCAAAGCAACAAGATGCACCAGAAACAAAGTCCCAAATCTCACAGCAGCCCTTATTACAGTAATGACTTTTATGCCCCTGCTACCCTGCACAATGATCTTTTGGAAGAATCTAGGTATACTTTGGGAAAGACCCAAAGAAATGAAACTTTAGCAGCAAAGATCGATGAGTTTAACCGGACTGTATTTCACACAGATAAACGTAACAATGCTCTGCAAGAAAACCAGGTGCCTCGAACAGCATCAGAAGATCACAAACCCTGCGGCCCACTGTGTGACTCTGCTATTAGCAGGACAGAAACTGTAAATACATCTTCTGTTTCAAATCCGAAATTCTCTGCAGCAAAGGAGCAAGAAACTAGCAACCCCAGCAAAGCTGTCAGAGCGGTGGGGCAACAAAAGCAAATAAATGGACTTCCAAACAGTAGTGGTTATAGGCACATGCTTCATGAGCATGACTGGAGACCAAGTAATTTATCCGGTCGCCCGCGTTCAGCTGACTCAAGGTCGAACTATGGTGTTGTTGAAAAGCTTTTGAAAAACTATGAAAAATCAACAGTGACTTCTCCGTGTAATGTGAACTGCTGCAAAGATAAGCGGACATGGGCAAATTCTGAATTCACCGATGGGGGTTGTGAGACATTGAGTCAGTATTTAGAAATGCTCCAGATTGAGCAAGGAAAGCAAGAATTTCCAAGGAGTTCAGCCAGGCATATTGGGCAGCAACTCAAGCAAGGAAAAGAGAGACAGAAGTTACCAGAGGTAAGGTTCATAAGAATGGCAAGAACAAAATAATTCAGTTTCATACTAAGCTTCGGATTCTAACATGAGGCAGGCTAACGTGATACTGTAAATAGCTATGTAAAAAAATAGACACTTTAGGCCAGGATCTGGATGAATCAGGAGTATTTCCACTGAAGATAATAGAGTTGTGGGAGGGTAGAAGCATATAGGTAGAATGACCATGAAGATGTGTGCCAGATTCTGATCTCTGCTGCTGTTGTGTAAAGCTAGATTTTAACTGCCGTGCAGTTATTCAAGGATTGAACTAGATAGTACTGCAATCAGGTTTTAACTCTCTCCCTCCTTGCTTTAGCTGATGAGTTATTTCATAAGCCTTCCCAAAAGGCTTAAGCACACTCGGCCATGTCAAAATCCTGGACAGCTTAGATAGCATTCTTCAGCATCCAGGCTGCTGCTTGATTCAGGATTTCCTTGGAACTGCCTATGAAAAGGGGTACTGTGGCTCCATAAAGTTTCCAGGAACAGAGTGACCTCCTCTTACTTATCTCTCAGTTCCAGGCTTCTCCTACATATTCAAGCATAGGCTCACAGAAACAGAAGAGTATGGCATGATTAATTAATTTATATTTGGCTGAATTTTATTTGCAGAAGTTTAGAAATATTGCCTTTGCCAACATTCTTTCTTAATGAAAAGAGAAACAGATGGTTTTGAAAATACACTGTAACTTGCAGGTTCTGTAAAAGGCCACAAAGAAAGAAAAATCATTTTTTCTGAAGAGCTCCTTGGCCAACGAACACAAAGAGATATGCCCCTTAGCGTCTAGGAAAAGAGAAGGCAGATGTGTTTGGAGCTGAGAAACTTATATGGGTTCAGACTGTCAGCTGGTATGCTTTAAACTGTCACAAATTCACAGACTTTAGTGGAGCTATGTGGATTTAAACAGCTGAGAATCCGATCATGCAGATTTTCTTCTGCATGTCTTTCTGACAGCCTTGCAGTGATGCAACATCTTGCTTAGCAGACACATCTTTACTACAGCACAGAAAGAAAAAAACATGAAGCTTCTGATTTCTTTTTCATCTAATGATCTTTTGATAGGAAAACAAATTTTCATCAGTGAATATGTAGGGAAGAAATAATGACTAGATAATGACTGACTTTACATTCATGTAAGCCCAGAATAACTTTACTAAGCCAATTGGATTTTTTTTCTCCATAGGCTCACACTTTATGTTGTCATTTCTATCTGTACAAACTAACTGTAGAATATTGCCTGATTAGGGGGTACCATTTTAGGTCCAGCAGCATTCACATCACAAAGATGTAAAGAACTACACATGGCATGAGGCATTTGGCTTATTTTCATTATTTTCAATTTACATCACTGTAGCTACGATCAAAAATCTGTTGGTTTTCCTGTGTATATAAGGCTCTGCTTGGAGACATGACACTGCTTTAATACATAACAATGCTGAATTAGCTACCGAGTGTAAACAGCTTCACGTTGCACTAATGGAAACAGAGTTCTTAGCAAGATGTGACTGCTGAAATAGGATCTATCAAAAAATACCTGAAGATTATGTAGATCATACTCCAGTAACGTAAGATGGTATTCTGAGTTCTACGTTTAGAATGGTATACGGTGTTCATTGACAAAAAACCTGCCAAAAATGAAAAGAAATGAGAAGTGAATGTCAGTTTTGCCTTGCATTAACATTTCATACCTTTCCTTGTGTCTGACACTTGTCTCCATATATTTTAAACTGCAACCGATGTGAGAGTCCCTATACATAGAAATAGCTGTTCTTTTGCATTCTACGCATTACTGTGCTCCTTTTAATAGCTTCAGACCACCTGTTCTGAGGTCACCCCAAATGTCTGCTGACATTCCTGCTGCATTCCACAAAAGCCGTAACTTGTTAAAGCAAGGAATTGCCTTTGTGTTCTAGATATCTGTGCCAGCTAAATGTTCAAGTGGGAAGGGTTTCTCCCGGCCCGCTCGGCCAGCAAATCGACGCTTACCTTCCCGATGGGCATCCAGATCACCATCAGCACCGCCTGCTGTGAGAAGAACGGCGTATAACTGCTCTGTCTCCTTTCGGTCAGAGACCTCAGTAGTCTGAACCCAGAACTGGGTTGGACGGTGTTGTGAAAGCTCTACGCCTCATTATAACTGTGTTCGGTATGTGTTATAGCAACCAGTTCCACACCATTGTATCTTGTCCAAGAGTGACGCCCACCACATGCCGGACAAAGCGTTTTGAATCTTAGGTCATCATCACCATGGTCTTCAGTGTTTTTATTGAGATGAAATAACTATACCCCTGGTTTTCTCTGTTTTTTTGTAATAGCTCACAAGGAATTTCTTTTGAGTGGCATCTTCCTTAATCTGCCAATCAATTTTGAGTTGAAACAATGTATAGTGCTGTATATTCTGACTCTTCTGCAAACAGCAGAACGTAAAGCTGTATGCATGATGATGTGTTTGTAGGTGCATGTGTTGGACTAGGAAGTATACAGGTCTGTATTTAGAAGAGGCAAACTGTGCTAGTGTCGACATTGAAATTACAACCTATACACATACATATATATATACTTTGTGTTTATTTTAAAAAGTTTGAAATATACAGTCCTGATGACATTTATATTTTGTATATCTTTTACATAGGTTCACAGGTGTAGTATTTAATGTACAAAAACTAAATATGCATTTTTGTGACTGATTGCAGCGATAATGCCTTGCACAATATGTATCTGAAGCAGACTAGCTCGACTGATTCGTCAGTCATGCTTCACGGCATCCTTGTTCGGTTTCCTAACCCTTATGATGCTAGGTCAAAATACCCAAACATATTTTTTCTGAATTAAAATATTATATGATTTGTAATACATTAGCCTTTTTCAGCACCAGAGACATTCCTGAAATGTTCCAATCCCTTTAAAAAGCTTAAATGTGCCATTATATATATAGCATACTGTAAACACTTTGGTAGTTTCAACTAGTGTAACATACAATTTATGAAGGGAAGAAAAGGGTTGTGTATGCTCAATTCTGTAAGACTTACTTTTCCTTCTAGCATTATACTTTGAGGTTTGGCAAAGTCAGATAACAACGGACTTGTTTACTTTCACTCAAGGCAGGAGAACAAGGCCCGTTGTTCCCAGTGCCGCAGCCACACTCCTTTTTTTACTCTCCTCCTAGACTAGAGTGCCTGAGCCACTTGCTAATTTACTGCTCCCGGACTGACTCGTGGCAGTCAGTTACGAAGTTTACTTGCACTCTGGCAACAAGCTGCATCTAGTACGGAAATATTGCATCAAGGTATGATCACAATGGTGCCCGAAATCCTAGACTCATGGCGTTGGAAGTATGTTTTTGCCATCACTTGACTCGGTATTATGGGCCATCTGTATGACGTGCACAGAGCCTGGCTTGTTCCTTCCCACAGCGTGAAAGAAATATGGATGCTACCCAGACTCTTGCTGAACTTTCAGAAAGACAATGTCCTTCAGCCTGGACTTTTTGCACCCTTCTCGAGGCTGTTGCTGGATATGTAGTGCGGTAATGATCATAAATGTTACCTTTAAACAGCATGTCTAGGTTAAAAGGAGTAAAGAGGCACTTCTTCAACATCAGCCTGATCTTGTCTTGCAACGTTTCTTCTTCTCCTGGAGAAACATAGTCTGTTCAAAGGAATTTCAGAAATCATCCCAGGATCCATTAATGTGCACATCTTCTTATGTGAATGTAAAAAGGATTTGAGAGAGAGTGTAGGCTTTTGTCCTAGTGAATTGTATATGTGGCAATATAGGGAAAATTAATTGTGCTTAATTTGATAGTGATCTATTGTCCTACTCCAGTCATGTTGAGAATCCACACCTTTTTCCTTCCTTTTAGGTCCTTTTTCTTCTTTCCTCCGCACAACTTTGGTTTTGCAGAGAGACAAAACAGAAGGCCATGTGTTCTGATCAATATTGCCTGTATGGTAGTATCAGTAACTGTTCAGGCATGCCAGTATTGGAGCAAGCAGGCATTAGAGCCAGAAATCCCACCTTATCCTGCCATTGTGGCTGCCTGCATGGCAAAAACACGCTCAGAGTAATTTGCCCAATCTAGACTTCTGGTCCTTTCTAGGTGCGAGTGGTGGGAAAATCCCACAACAATAAATGAAGCTTCAAGCAGATGAACAATTCATCAAAATTTATTCAGACATTATTGCAAAGTTGTTACCGGAAAAGATGCAAGGACAGAAAAGCTTGAAGAAAATTTATACAGTTTGGATAGAGACAAAAAATCTGTGTACTCGAGTGAAAAATCAAGAGTACTATAAATTTGCCTGTTTGCCCTAATTTAGAGGTTGCACTCTATTAACTTCCTTAGAACTAGAAGAATTAGAGATGATCCATAGTGAGTTTGGAACATGGCTTAAGATTCTAGCTAACTGTGGAAATTAGCAAACTCAAATGCCTTGCAAACTGACCTTTTAAATGCCTTAGTAGTTGAGCAGCTTTAAATGCCTAAGGCTGAGGAAAGGGTAATATGAGAGAATTGTAAAAAAATACGGTTCTTAATTTCAGTCAGTGTTGACTGCACTAAAACTTCTTTAAATTACCTTCATGGTAAAGTTAAGCAGTTTTGTTCAAGCAATTTTGTTCTGAAAAATGGTGGTGCACTTTTGTTTGAAGTATGTAACTACAAAAGCATTTCCCTTGATTAGTCAGTGAAGGTGTTTCTTTAGTTCCCTTCAGTTTCTTTGATCGCCTTTGTCATATATCACATTGTCGAATAACAGAGAAAGGATCAAGTATCTACAACATTCCCTAATGTATGTAAGTTTAATGAACAGAAGGTTTTTGAAATAAACTAATAGGTCAAGGACAAGTCCATTTTGTCAAGATTTTCTGTGTCCGTCTAATTACAGACATTGCTTCTGATGCCCAAAAGTATTAAAGCTGGTGATTTTGGTCTGCAGGTGGCTAGTTGGACATACCAATTTTAGAAAATTGATGTTGTTTATATAGTCTTTTCAGCTGCACTTGTAGCAGGTCAGTGCACTGTGGTGAATTTTTTAGTTCCCGGAACTGTGCTTACTGAACCATAGTAATGGCTTTATTGCACTTGTTTGCTATAGGGGGAAGAGCTCCGTTGGACTTTCAGGTTCCCCCATGTTATCTCTGACAAGAAAATATAGTTACCTTGGAATTTCTGAAGCGAGAGACTCTCTCCACACACACACACACATTCATGCAAGAACCACAAATGATCAAGTATAACTTGACCTTTCTATTAATCCTAGTGTCACCTATAGAAGCGGTGAGTTTTGTAAGCCTGTTTTTAAAATAGGTTTTTGATATTATTCCTCCATATGCTGTCTAAAGTCTTAATGCAGAAATAGGTTCTTCTTACTTGTGCTCTGAACAAGTCTAAGACTCTATTTATTGCATATTTATGGGCTTTAGTACTGAAATAAATGCAAAACTCCCTGCACACACAGAGTCAGCTGCCCATTGGAATGGGGATGTCACTAGGAATCAGCTGGCTGGTACTTAGTTGACAGAAAGGATCATTCTCCCTCCCCCTGGGAGATGGAGCCATAACCTTTCCCTGCCACCCTTTTAGGGAGGAGCGTGGCAGGGTAAAAACACTTAGAGGAGTCAGTTAGCCCTTATCTACATATGCAACATAGCAGGCTGCCTGAAGGCTGGAAAACTGGCCTGACTCAGAGCCTCGGCTAGAGGCAGAAGGAGTAGAGATTAAAAAAAAAAAAAATCCCTTTAAAACCTCTGGATATCCTTCCTCAAACTCAGAGTACATTTCCACTAAATGTTTTGTCTTTCCAGTGTTAGTGATAGACCTCTTATGTAACTTTAAAATGTTGCTGAAGGGATGAACTTTGCTTGTTCTCCAGCAACACCACAATTGTCTTTCACTATTACACATACAGTAAGGGAGTTAGCTGTTATATATAGCAAAGAATTGGCAATCAGTGTAATATAATTTTCCAGAGCATTCAGAGCACCAATTTATTTCTCCAGTTGTCCATTTAAAAAATTGTTTCTGTAAATAAGGATTTTATATCCAAATAGCTTCAACAGCATTTTAGCAAAGATCTACAGCAACCCAGCAGGCAGGCCATTTCCTTCAGAGTTTTGTTATTTCTGGACCAAGCCTAAATTTCCTAGCATTCAAGAACTTATGCAATTCTCACAGTGCTGCTATGCAAAGAATTTCTTTGGCTTTGAGATCTGTAATATACAACTCTAGCCATTTTACTGCTGATATTCTCTGTTGGACTATTCTGTAATGGTGTCTTTGGTTGTGTAGATGCTCTTTAAACTGGAAGGCAGAATGCATTTGCTCTAAATGCACTAAATCAAAGCCCTTTGTTGCCTCTGGTCTTTCCAGAATCCTCCTTGATTCCCAGTGGATGTATATTTTTATGTGGTTTCTTGCCATTGTTCTATATGTATATGCCATACCATAGGGCTTTCTATCTGTATCGCAGTCAAAATATTTTTTGGACAGCCTATTCTAAAAAGTGCTGATAATACTATTGCCATTCACAAATACATTAGATGTTGATCTATTGTTTTGCATCACTGAAAATGCACTTTCTTCATCAACTGTTAGTGGCATACATTATACAAAACTTGTGCTCTCGTTTTTTGAAATGATGATTAATCTGCTTTTGAGGTTTGCTTTTACCCCTCTCCCTCACACCTTTTCTGTTTTGCAAAATACTTGCATTGGCAAAGATGTATTTCTGATGTGTACCGTTGACCCAGTTGCTGTGTGGCTGTGGGAGTTCATACCTAAGGGTGCCTTGCTAACTCTGTTACTCTAAAAAGAATTGTGTCAGAATTGCCATGGAGAAAGAGAGCTTGAACCCTCAATATGAGTGAAAGTCTGCAAATAAAAATCAGAAAGAAAACAGAAGAATCAAAGAGGAGGGTGCAAGACGTAGTAAATGTTGTGGCTAGTTCTTTGCTTCTAATGGAAGATCCCTCTGTGCGCCTACTTCATACCACCTGAAACTTTCAGTAATGATGTACTGTCTTTTTTCAATCAGCATCTTTGTATGTACGCTTCTCCTGCTCTGTGAGCTCATAATAGCAAGAGGTACTGAAAGGCTGGAGTTAGTATGTCGTATTAACACCAGTACTTCCTCCTCCCATATTTGATGGTATGGTGGTTATTGAAGAATGCAGTTAATTGTTGTTAATCCTTTCTGTGGCAGCAGTCGGTTTTACCAGGAGGTGCATG